CCGGCTGGGGGGGGGGGAGGGAGCGGGCGGGAGAGAGAGAGAAGGGGGCGGCCAGGGCTACAGCAGGGGCGCTGCCACGCGGCCCCTCCCGCTGCGCCGCCTCCTGCCGCCTGTCACGAGGGCTCCGCTCCGCTCCGGTCGGCGGGGAGGGAAGGAAGAGGACTGCCCTGCAGGGTCCTCTGGTTCTCCGTGCCGCTGCCCCCTACAGGGTGGCCGGAGCAGAACAAAACAAAACAAAAAAGCGGCCGTGCCGCCCTAGGATTGGGCGGAATGCCGCCTCGAACAATCTGCCGCCCCAAGCTGGTGCAAGCTGGTGCCTGGAGCCAGCCCTGGTTGCTTCTTTCTAGGGCCCCTTTCCTCTGTCTCCATATTTCCTCACCTCTTAAAAGGCCATGCTGTGTGACAGGGAGGACTGGGCAGTAGGCAATACTGCCCTTAAGGAACAGACTATCCTGTTACTCTACCACTTGCAAATATCACCTTACCAGGGCCAGCTCCAGGCACCAGCAAACCAAACAGGTGCTTGGGGCGGCACATTTTCAGGGGCGGCATTCCAGCCAGCCTCTTTTTTTTTTTTTTTTTTTTTTTTTTGCTTTGGGCGGCAAAAGGCTAGAGCCGGCCCTGGCAGCAGCAGTGTGTCCTGCACGGGGGCGCCCTGGGGCCGCTGCGGTTCGTGTCGGGGAGCAGAGCCCGCACCTATGGCCGGGCGGGCTCCGAGCACGGGACACTCGGGCGCATGGAGCCGCCTGCAGGTGCCGCAGGGCGGCCGCTCCCTAGCGCCGCAGCCGGGGCTGGGCGAAGCAGCCCGAGCCACCCAGGGACTGCGGCAGGGTGGCCAGCAGCAGCAGCGGGGCCACAGTGGGGACCGGTGCCCGGGGCGTTGCCGTGCGGGACCCGCGTCCCGCTCTCTGGGACTCTGCTCTCTCTGGGGCTACCCTGCCCCGGCTCCTCAGCCCCCTGCCGGGGCGGTCCTCCAGCTCTGCCCTCCTGGGTCCCAGCCGGTCCTGGAGGCGGAAGCCCTGGCTGGAGGGACCCTGAGCTGAGGCGCGGCCCGGGAGCCCCGCTGCTTACCCCGACCCTGCCAGCACTGGACCGGCTGGAGGCGAGGGGGGAACGGGCGGAGTCAGGTGGGGGGGGGGGGGGCCCAGCGCTGGGGGGGGGGCGCTTGGGGCGTCAAAAAACCTAGAGCCAGCCCTGCACCTTATCCTGTCCGAGCTGCTTAAAGCTAGTGTGTGTAGCTGTGATATGAACAATAACTGGTCTTCAAAATGCCTTAGTAAGGAGATGGTGCCCAAGATCCTCCAATGCTTAGAGGTCCACCTCTTCCTCAAAAAGTCATCTCTTCAAACCATTGCTTGCCAATTTCCACCCTGTCTCAACCTGTCCCATTAAAGGGAATATGATTTGAGAGATTGGTGGATTTTAAGTTCCAGTTGTAACTCAATACCAGACACACTGGAAGTTTCCCCCATGTGTTTAGGCCCATTGATGGAAGGTGAGACTATGCTTGTAAGGACCATTAATGATCCATTGGCTTTAAATTTTGAGTCAGTTAGCTATTATAGTCCTGCTGACCTCTCAGTAACTCTTGATTGGCCACGGGGCATTGCTTTAGAGTATATCTACACTTCAAGCCGGGGCTGTAATTCCCAGCTTGAGGAGACATACTTGTGCTAGCTCTCAGCCAGCTAGTGCACTGAAAGAGTGTAGCCGTGGCAGTATGAGGGGCAGGGGCAGGCTAGCTTCCCCAAGTATATGCCCATCCAAGAGCCCAGGCACATACTGGGCCAACTAGCCCATCCTGTTGCTCGCACTGCCGTGGCTACCCTCATTTTCAGCATGCTAGCTGGATGAGAGTTTGTGCAGGTATGTCTCCTCAAGCTGTGAATCGCGCTCCCAGCTCAAAGTTTAGCCATACCCATAGTGACTAATGGGTGTTGCAGACTTGTCTGAGACTGCTCTCCAGTGGCTCCACTGGGAGCTTGACAGGTCAACTGGTGGTATCAGTCATCCAGGGTCAATCAGTAATGATTGACATTTCATGTGGCATCCTCCAATATTTTAGCCTTTTGCCCATGTGTTGAGGATACATATGTGGCCTTTGGTAAAATCACATATAAACACAGGACAGAGTATCATGAATCTGCTGCTGATAGATAGATGCAAGTCTCTTGTCTTGAGCAGACATCTGTGTAATCTGGTCTCTGCCTTGGGGGCTTATGTAGACAATGTATCCCTCTGGATGCCCCCTTATTCTCAACCTAGAAGAGAGTCTTACAGGTGGGTAAGAATCATCATTATGAAAAGGTTTCCCCCATTTGTTTTGTGAAAGGAACGTGTTTGGAAGTGGTCAGATTAAGACTTATGATGTGATTTTTAGTACGCATTTTCCATAGAAAGCCATGTGTCTGTTGGATATTCAGCGAAATTGGTTCGCTCTCCCTCCCCCAGCTGCCCAGTTTTCTCAGGCTGTGTCTAAATTTATCCTGCAATAGCTTAGCAACAGCAGTACATACCTTCATAACCACAACCCCTTATTAAAGTAATGTCCTCTTAGTACTCCGTCTACCAGAGATTCTTGTTTGTAGCTGATAAGGAATTCAGGGCACACCTTCATCCTGATGAATATTGCATCTACGCTTGGACACCTTCTGCCTTTTAGGGATTTCACCTCAGGTCAGAAGGTGACCATGGTTATCCTGTGGTGGCCTCTAAAGTTTGAAGTTATTCCAGTTAATTGGTGTGAGAGAAAAAGGTTACCGTCATTCCACAATTTCGATGCTACTTAAAGGAAGGAAGCAGGGCATATAGTTAATAAACCCCTGTCTGAGTCATTCAATGCATAGGCTGGCCTTTAAGTAGTCTGATACTAATCCAAAATGGTTCAGTGAAATCAGTGAAACACTCCCATTGACTTTAGTGGACTTTCGATCAGATCCTGATTGAGGTTAGGATCCAGTCAAAGAACAGCGAAGATTAAAAAGACGCATTACATAATATTTATATACAGTGTAATTTATTTTAAGAAGTGTTTGTTTCATCTGCCTCCCATACAGAAAGTTCATATGTAAATTTTGCTTGACAGATAGCAATTGCACTGTGTACGGCCTTCCTCCAT